ACTGGAAGCTGTCCTGCTGTGTGGCAGGCTCCTGCCCTTTCCCAGCCATGTGCAGACGGGACGAGCCTGGGCCTGGCGTAAGCGGAGGCAGCCGGGCGTTGAAAGTGGTTGTTTTTAACGGGGAGAGGGGGGACACCCGGAGACGCGCGTGGCCCCGTGTGCCTGGACGACGACCCAGGTCCCTTCCTGTGCATCTGGCTGCAGGAGCAGCCATTTCCCTGGCCGTGCCTGTGGTGCGATCCCATGCGCTTGTACGCTCTGTGGCATGGCCTGGCCTGCGAGGTGCGAGCGGTGACTCCAGGGAGCGGTTTTCTTTTTCTGGAAGAAAATAGCAAGCTGACTGTATTTTCTGAAGGTCAAGCTTCGCTGCTTTCCTGCCAATGCCTAAAGCTAGTCTGAAAGTGGAATGAATATTTTGAAACCTCCTTAAAAGTAATTTCCTTCGTTTCTTTGGTTTTATAAATAGAGACTTTTTGCCTTTAAGAATTTGATGACTCCTTTCCAGTGAAAACTCCTGAAAAAGAAAGGCCCTGTAGAAATCAACATGTTTTGGCAAGAATTCCTCATTTTGTAGGAAAAAAATCGCTTTCATCTTCTAGATAGTTCTGCCATTTAAGGCTGCGGTCCCCCGATGCCATTCTGGTGTTTCTACAGCTATATATGGAGTCTCTTTGGTGCTTGCTCGTGGTATCCTCAGAGCTGAGTAAAGGTCAGGCCAGGAAGCCTTTGATTGTAAATCTCCCCAGGCCACCTTGATGCCCTTCCTGAATGCAATGAATGGGGGAGGAAAGCAAGGCTTCTGTTGTGCAAGCTGTGGGAGCTAACCACTACAGGTACAGCAGAGGCACGCTTGTCCCACGCTTACAAGAAGAGGATATATATTAATCATTAAGTTGCACTCATCATAAATATGTATACCCGATGCCCAAATGGCCAAAAAAAATGTTTTGTCGCCTTGTCTGAAGAGAGTCCCTTTCCTTTGGATTCCGTATTGCTGCGGCAGATCACAACCATATTTGACAGTTTTTATAGACTTTCTTTAGGTGACTTACAAACATTGCACAATTTTATTTATTTTTCAGTCTGTTTTCTTAGTCATCTCTCTCTGGAAGGCCGACTTTCTCAAGGATTTTATTTAGCTTGTAGTATAGAGCTTATCAAAAACAAAGGAAAGAAAAATTAGGAAAGGAAGTTTAGAGTATAATTAGACTTTTCTTTATGCCACGATCTGAAATGAAAATTTTAATAAATTTTCATTATTTATTCCTTTTAATTTCAAAAACAGGGTTTTTTTAATGTATGGTTTTCTGTTGGACAGATTGGTCTCATGATACGATCTTTAGCCAATTTTTTTTTTATTAATTTACATTTTTTAAATTTTGAAAGCAGAGAAATAACAAAACAAAATAAATATTTTTTTCCCCACAAACAATGATTTTTCTTTTAAAATGTCACTGCTGGAAGAAGGGCTGTTTTTCCTGAAAGTTTCTGAGTGGTTCAAATGCAAAAGCACTCTCTTGAATGCCCTACAGCCAAACTACTGTACTGCACTGCTCAGGACATACCCACACCTGATACTGATGGTGGTCTGCTACTGCCCTCTGCTATCGAATTTGTCTTTTTCTCTTAAGCCATGACAAATTACATTTTTAGCTCTGTAGCTTCTCAGTCTTGTCCCTTCTGTTGGTAACGTGGTAGGCAGTCACTTAGCTGGATGCGTGCCTTGACCGGGAGGGAGAGACTTTGCCGGAGAAGATTCACTTCCAGTTTGCTGGAAGTGAATGGGGCTGGACTAAGTCACGTAGTATTTGCATTCAAAATGAAACCTAATTTTGGGGGCTGAAACACAACGTTGTAGAACTGAAATTCCTTTCATATGAAATCAAGTCATCGTGATGTGTGTGTTTGCTTATCTCCTGCCTTAGGTGGGACAGGTTTACTTCCTACAAAAGATCATCTGAGGATGGGGACGTTAGCAAGTCACCAGGTTTGAAAAAAGATGGTGACTCAGTCAGTACCAGAACACTTTGACAGTTTGAAGAAGCTTGTGGGAGCAGTGTAGTTCAGTAGAATCCACTTCCTGCCAGAGCAGTTACTGTCACTGCTTGTTTAGTTCCAAGTAAGAAACCTGAGTAGACAGTGTCAAAAGTTCAGGTAGTGATAGGTTCAACAGAGAACAGCCGGGTTTGTGGGAAAGTTAGGAGGGGAGAGGAAGAAGCAGGCCCCCAGAATTAAACCAAATACACTAATTTGGTAAATAAGGGAAGGCGATTTTCCTCTGGTTCAGCTAGATCAAGCTTCTTGACCCCTGCTGTTGCCGTGTGGCCTGGGAATAAAATAATCTCCAGCATAGTCTATCCCTTTCCTCACTCGTTGCTTTACCTTTACAACTTTGCCTTCTCCTGCCCTCGCTGCTCCTCCATATTAATCTGAAATATTTCCCATTAGGTGTCTCTTGCCTACAAGACATCTCTGATGGCTTGGTATGCGCATGCTGTCCTTTTCCCTGCCCTCACCACGCTGCTCTTACACCCTCATTGCCTGGGGTGGAACATGGTGCTGGTACCCAGAAGTGCCACCAGAAATGGAGAGCGTGGGGTTGGAGAATGTATATACATGAGTGGGAAGAACACTCGCCTCCAGAGAGATCATTCCTTACATTTGTACAGCAAAGAAAGCATGTTGTATTCCACATAGGAGACCTAGCCTATGTGATGTCTGCAATAGTGCTGGAAAGAATCTTGGAGGTTTCCCCTGTAACTTCTGGATGGTTTTGACTGCATCTGTTGTAAAACATATGCTTCTCTCCATCTTACTTACATGTTCTTTTTAGAAATAGGTCTGATTTAGTGATTGGCAAAATGGAGACACTGTCATGGCCCCACATGTTCTGAGACAATGTGGGGTTTTTGAGGGTATTTCCTTTATGAACTTTTTCTTACCTGAAAACAGAAACCCTGTTAAAATGTATTAAGACACAGTTGAATGCATCTTCCTGTTCTACCTTGTCAGTGATATGGAGAGACACGAAGTTTTGTGCTTTGAATAATCAAATGGCTAACTAAACAAGGAAGCTGCCATCCACTGAAGCGATCAGTGAGTCAAACAGTAGTCTGCATGATGGGCTGACCTGTTCTTTCCTGTCTTCTGTAGAATTTTTTGCATTGGGCTTTTCAGAAATTTTCTGGCATTACTCAATGTATTTTTTTTTCCCCACCTCCTGCTTTTACCGCAGTGCTTGACAGGTGAGGGCTAGCTCTCAGGGTTACGTAGGCAAGATGTATATATACCTGCACGCATGCATGCATACAAATACACACATAGGTAGAGATAACACATATACCATTTATAAGCAGCAGGCATCGCTGCCAGTGGAACAATTATCCTTTGCTGTGAGGACGCACCTGGAGAAGGTAGGACATCAAACGCCAAGTGCTATGTAGAGGGATTTGCCGCTGGCATTCAGTAGTCATCAGTGGCCAGAAGAGTTAGGATTTTCTGGGAGTTTGAAAGGCTTATAACTCTGTCACCACTTCTTGGAGGCACAGTGCTAAGATAAAGCTGTCCTCTCGAATCAAATGACTGTATTACTTACATGATACTGCTGGCCGTGCTGAATGTAGCAGCTGCTGCTGTACTTTTCTCTAAAGTGATGAAGGGAAAGGCAAAAAGTTCGTATCAGCAAACATGAGAAGAATGGGTGTGATGTAAAGCAACTAGATGAGCTGCATCAGCTGCCCTGCATGTCACAGCTTCAAAGATTCTGCCTGCCGAATGGTTGGGAACACAGGCTGATGTTTCAGCTAACCCAGATATTGTGCACCCTTGCTCTCTCAGTTTTGCTGTTTAGGGGTGGTTTAGCTGATACTTCATTACAAAGTATTCTGCAGAGATCAAAGATTTCGTCATGGTTTTAACAGGAGTTATGGGCAGTCAGAATCTCTGATGATTAGCATGATTGTGAATAGGATGTTGTAACCTTAAGTGCTAAAGGACGGATCTTGAGTAAATGGGATTTTCATATTTCCACTGATTTCAGTGTAGCTTGGACAATTCATGCAGCAAGGAGTATGTCTTTTAAATTCTCAACCAGAGTCTTGAAAAGTGAATCTTTGCTTAGGAAGGTATTGTTTGAAGTTCTGAAAGCCATCCAGGCATTTTTGCTACAAACCTTTTGTTGACGTCAGTGGGAGGCTCTGGGGCAGGTTCATGGCTCGGCCTTGAAAATCTCAGCACCAGAAGGTGTTTATCAACTTTTGGGCCAATAATTTAAGCATGGGAAATTCAGAGCAAGGTCCTCCACTTGTATGTACGTTCATTCATTTTGTGAGAAAACACAGTTTAATGCTTCTTTTCAGGGTATTTCTGTTTGCTAAAAAGCCCACAGGAAGAGTGGGAGTCAGCTTTGAGTTTTTGCTCCTGAAATATCCACTATGTTTAATCAAAGCCTTGAAGTTCTACCTGCAAGTGCTGTTTTCTTACTGTGTGTTTAGAGACTAGTAAAGATTAGCAAAGCCTAATTTCTGTTGCTAATGATCTGCTGTATTACAAGAGTGGTTGTAAAAGATGGCCCTGCATCATTTGTTCTGCTCACCCTAAAATTTATTATTTTGCATGCAAACATTTGCTCTGTTCCACACAATCAGGAGCGGCTCCTCAGCCCAGATACCGATTGTCTTCATTAAATCACAGCTGGGCTGAGCTCTGTCAGCTCCAGGTTTAGCCCTCGAATTGCCCACTGCCCCAGTGTTGCCTGAGATAAATCCTCTCATAGAGAGAGTAAGAGGGTCTTGGAGAATTCTTTCATGGTTCAATTACTTTTACTAAAAATGAAGGATTTTCTATGGATTCTTCAGATTCTCATTTTAAGACTTAGGGATGAGGGCACTTCATGGCATCTAAGATGTTGAGAAAGATCAGTGGAGATCATAGGATGCTAGTGTAGTGGAAAGAGTTACATCAGAGGGCAAATCTACTAATTAGGGAAATGTGCAAAGAACAGAGGATCAAATCCATCCAGCCTACTGGTTCACGGCTTCCATCTGAAGTGTCTAACCTCTGCTACACTTGGCTGCTTTCCCTTAGAAATTATAATTGCTAAAAGAGACATGCACACGCTCTGCTCCACCTGTGCCGTAGGACATGGTGGGACACTCCGATTCAGTCTGGTTCCAGTAACATTGCTGAGTGGAGAACAAGTCTTTTCCAGGTATACCTTGCCTAGTCGTATACAACTGTATCTATCACCTGCTCGTACACATGGCTGTGGTCAGACAGCAGGCAGAAGGTTAAAACACGAGGTGGAACACTTTGTGACTGTCTAAGCAGTGACTGTTCATGACACATAAAATGCTTCGTTGCGTCTTTTGTTCAAAGATTTCCAGGTAATTTGGAAAAGAGTTAATACACCTACAGGCAGGTTCAGCTGGGAGGTTTTCAAAACATGTAAAGTAGCTGCATCATTGACTCTCGACACATACTCTTATAGTTTGGGCCTGCTCGCTCAGTTTCTTGAAAATAAGGCTACGTATTCCAGTGATTTAAACCTCCATTTTTGAGAGCGTTGGGTTTTTTTCATAGTATCTCTGGGTTTCAAGGCCTATCTAGAAAGGTTAATTCTTTTTTCGAACAAACGCCAGACCGAGGTGAGAACTGCTGAAGTGTTATAGTGATTTTATCAGGCATTGTGGATGCTCTGCACACCCGAAAATCAAGACTCAAGTATTTGCTTTTCGGTGTAGCTCAAAGTATGTCAGTTGCTCACCACTTCTTTTGCCGGGGAGCAGCAAAATGAGAAATTCTTCTTCATACATGTTTTGTCTGTCTATATAAAGTGCAGCCAGTCTCCAGGCTGTTTTCTTCCTCTTGTTCTTCTTTTAAATCTATCTCTCTGTTGCTCATGTTGTTGTAGCTATGAAGGTCAATGGCTGTAAAAAGGCAAGGCTTGAAGGGAGAGACAGTATTTTTCATCTGGGGAAAAAGTAGGCAAGTTGTTAGGCACGTCAATCATTTTTCAGGTCTGAAATACGAAAATTGAATTCTTTTTTTTCCAGGGTTATATTTTGAAGATTTTCTCTTTGTTGCCCTTGAGGATCAAGCTATGTGGATCAGTTGTAGAGTGGTTTTGTAACAAATAAGGGCTCTGTGTGGGAGGACGGCGCAATCTGCGGTTGTTTGGTTTCTCACAGGGAATGCTGGTGACCTTCATCTTCGATGGGAGTAACAATCAACTGACTCCTAAGTGAGACCAGTTTCCTAGGGTGCCTGGGGCAGTGATTTTGAGTCTGAGGGAGCCTCCTCTGCAGGGAAGGCTTCCAAATACTCTGTCATTATGGCACATGAGCCACCTATTGGACTTTGTATCCCAATTTATTTCTTCAGTCCACACTGTAATGAGAAGGCTATGATTACGATCATCTTGTTACCACTGATGGGTGTGATTTGCCTGCTGAGATTTTCATCATGATTTCTCCCAGGAGCCCACCACTTGCAACACAAGGTGATAGCTGCTAATATTTAGCATAGCTGCTAATATCAAAAAAGGGCTACAAAATCACTCTGCTGTTTTCAGTGGGGGGATGAGAAACATCTGTCTTGAATGTTACAAGAAAAAAAATATCTCAGTATGCAATTTCATGTGTGAATCTGTGGTAATCAGCATGATGGAATGATATCTCTTGGGGGAGATTGTATGGTTCTCCAAAATGAGGCAGAAAATGCAAAATAACCATTGGGGTGTATGTAAGTAATGGCTTTGTAACACCTACTGTATTCCATTTTTCTGTTAGCTTTTGGTTTATCTTGCTGTTTTTCATTTTTTGGGAGGGGAAATGTCAACATGCCAGAATGTGATTGTCTGAATGAAGACTGTCACTCGTCTTGCAGCACATTATGAAAATATCCTGGAGGGTCTAAATAATCCAGAGGGAAACTGAGAATAACCATGCCTATGGCTTCAAAGCCCCAGTAAAAGTCAACAAGGTCACTGATTTTGATTTCACTCAGATCTACAGAGAATGTAAAGCTTTGAAAATGCAGTGATAGGTGCCAGATTAGAATTGGATAGGTCCCTCACTTCTCTTGGGAGTGCTACCTCCCCTGCCACCCCCGCTAGCTAAAGAGAAAATTTTAAAAGCCATGATTAAATTGATGTTTTACACTTATTTTAGTGAGCAGGACTTCTTCTGGAGAAGACACACCTCACCCAAGAAACAAGAGTTTGCAGCAGGACTGTGCAGGGCGAGATCCCTGCAGAGTCCTCAGTGGAAAAAATTATCCTGACTTTACTGTGGACATCACCATGCCTTTTCTGCCGTGCTTGAAAAAACAGAAGCCACCTGTGCCTTTAGGCAGGAGTATCTTTCAGAAACACACCCCACCTGTCCAGCAGAACTACCAGGCCTTGCTGGAGATGTGCTTGAAGAACAAATGCCTATTCACAGATGACAACTTCCCTGCTCACATCAGCTCTATTGGAACTGGAGCACTGCTAAAGAAACTACCCCAAAATTTACAGTGGAAGAGGCCACATGTAAGTGACTTTCAGTGAATAATCTCGTGTAAGAAGATGATTACAGCTGATTGATAGCCAGCAAATAGTGTTAGTATTGAGCAGACTACTCTTAGACTTTAATTTAGGTGTGTCTTAATGCCTCCAGAGATTACACTTACTGTGTCAGCTGTCGTTTTGGAAACTGGGGTACATGGATTTTCATAATTGCTTTTGAAGCATTTGTTGACTGAAATCATAACCAGCTGTGTTCAGTTTATATCCAGTAATGCTTGGAGCAGGCAGGGAGTGCAAGTGAATGGAGTGGAGGGAGCCGGTGTCCTTGGAGCTCACAGCTCGATGATCCTAGCATGATTCTGTGATGATAGTTCTTATGGTGGTGATGCCTCTTCCCAGAATTCAAGATATTGACCTTTTAGATTTTTGAGTTTCTAGACAGTTCTTAGCCTTTGACCCCTCTCCCATGGACCACATACTGTTGCTATGCTGGAGGCTGCTACTTTCACCGGCAGCAGCAGGTGCCTTATCCTCTTGCTGGTCTGGTTTTTTTCCTGCTTAACTGTTTAGTCTATTGTACTTAGAGCAGTCTTTTCCCAGGTCTCAAGGTTGAGCTTCTACCACAACCAGTAATTGACCATCAGTCAGTCAGTTGTTTTTAGTTCTGGGGCCTCTGTTTTCTACTTGTGCCCATATTTCCAAGGCCTTTGCTGGTATCCCATGCTTAAACTGAACATCGCAACGACAGACACGTGGTTGCAAGTGCCGGTCACAGAACAAGTTCCCATAACAAATGGATAGATAACAAATTTAGGAGGCCAGGACAGCGATCTGGCACAGTTAGATAAGCTCTGTTACTAGCAGTGGCAGTTCTATTCTTACTGAGCCGCTGAGCATTGATAATCAGATCTTCCAGAAAGTAAAGTGCAGAATTGTCTGAGGATTTCAGTAGCACTGACTTCTTATGTTACTGTGTCTGTAAGGGAATTCTGCCAGGTAATAGCAGATAGCATCTCCTAGCGAAGTTATTTTCTAGATTTAACCGATCTCTTAGAAGGGCTGAATTTCTGCAAAACTCTTGAAAATCACTGAGAAAGTAGAGGCACCTTTGCAAAGTGAGCAGGAGAGCTTGGGAATAGCAGCCCTGGTTCTCAGAGATTCATATGTAATTCGATCTCGAAGGTGGTTTTTGTTAAGTCAGGATCTGCAGGTGGAGGAAGAGTGCAGTCCTCAGGGGCCTGAGCTGGGTTGTGCTGGGCACTGCGGCTGAGGCAGCTATATCAGCATTGCGGTATTTGTGAGGGGAAGGTCAACATGAGTCCTGGCCTCTACAAAGCCCCTCAGGTGTCCTGCCACCCCAGAGATATTGGAATGGACTTGAAGCCTCCAATGTCTCTCAGTCAACTGTTCTGCTGCTCTAAAACCTCCTCGTGAAGAAGGCTGCCATTTGCTCTGAATGCCAAACTTAGCCCAGCAAAGGCTCTCTAAGGATGTGTGCTGTGCATCCTTCAGTCCCTGTGCAGCAGAGGAAACACTAAGATTCTGCCATGCAGCCTGCAGGCTTTTAGCTTGCTGCATTTATGACTGATGGCCTGCAAACAGAACACCCAAATTCACCAAGGATAGGAGCTGGTGTCTACTGTAACTGCCTGCTGAGGGTTTGCTGTTTCTCTGCTGCTGCCTGAAGAGGAAGACAACAGTGTGAAAATTATCTTGAGCAATTTGTGAGTCATTAGAGTGAAAAGTAATTTTGACACTTACGTTATTAGTTTGACCCCAGAGGCACTTGTGAGAGGAAAAAAATAGCAACATAATCTCTTTCTGAAAAATTCTTCACAGACCCACTCATGTCACAGCAACAGGAACTTGTGTAGCAGCTGCCAGTTAGTCTGTAGCTCAATTGTCAGTCAAATTGTGGAGACATCAGCCTGATTAGCTGAAAGTTTGAACAGTTGTGCTCTGCCATTGTAGCATCTTTTGGCTGAAACCTGTTGGTAATTACAGAATAGCAGGGCTGGCAGGTCTGAAGGATTGTCTTCTCAGTGAGGTGCTTGTGGAAACCCATGGTGATGCATGTGAGCACCAGTGGCTTACGTTGGAGACCAAATTCAGTGCAGACCAAACACAAATGTGTGCCCAGGCTTACGTCACATTAGCCACAGCATACGATAACACTAAAGTTATACCTGAACCAGAACAATGTCTGCTGGGACAAAAGGATCCTAAGTATTTTGAAAGCTTTGAACAGGCAGAGGGCATGTTATGGTACGTGTCACATATCCATGAGATTTTTACATCCTGGACTAGGAACTCACTGGATTTCCCATCTTACGAGATTGCAGGCAGAAAGTCCTTGACTGCAAGCTAAACCAGCTCATATTACTGACTTGGCTCTCTCCCTCTTTTCTGTTTGGTTGTGTGCTTCCCAGGCTTTGCACAGAAGTCCTTTATTTTATGCTGCAAACAGAAAGCAACTTGATCTTTGCCAAGGATTGGTGGGTAAGGAAGCTCCTTTGCATAAATATCTAAGTATTCCTATACAAGATAACATTTTGTGTGGAATTTTGACTTTATAAAACTTTGCATAGAAATAGAAGGTGCATATATCCTTATCTCTTCATTTGGCATGGTGTGGATGAAGCAATTGTTAAGATGGAATAGGCTCAGTAAAAAACCTGGCAAGCTTTGAGGTGGGATTTGATGAATTAGAGGTGTCTCCATAAGCTGAAATTGCTACTCTCTGTGTTGCTTCTGTGACTGCTAGTACTGCGATAGGAAGTGATCCTGTGCTCTTACTGGTCTGTAACGTTGCTGCTTGACAACTGAACAGAGACCACAGAAGCAGAAAAATCTGAGACTTTCACTATCTTTGTATCTAAGGCTTAATGTAAGCGTGTTCTCTTCCCAGATTTGCAGTTAGAAAAATCATTTTTATGCCCATGTTACCTAAAGTAAAAGGACTTCTTTTCATCTGCAAAACAGGTAGGGGCAGGACTAAATTAATTTTTAAGTGCTTTAAGTCCTTAAACACAAAGTCTGATAAGTACAGTCTTGCATGTGAGATCCATTGGAAATGATTTTTCTCTTCTGAAAAGTTAATGTTTTTAAAAAAAGGAAAAAGTTTTCTTTGAATAGTGTGCCTTTACAGAGAACAGAAAAAAACCAGGCAGTGTCAGTAAAAAACCGGAATATTTCCCTTGAGAGCTATTTCTTGCTAAATTTCTTATGTAGCCAAACAGTATCCAAACGAAAAGATCGTGAGAGAACAATTATAAACCAATGATGTTTTCATTAAATAAAACACACGTCTGGATCATCTAATTTTCTGTATGTGACTTGTTATAATTTTAAAGACATCAGCACAACAGCTCTTCTGTTAGGATCTTGGTGGTGTTCGTGAACTTGGCTGACAACTCTTGCTTTTCAGCCAACTGCATGTGTCTGTTTGTCTTGGTGCAGAGAACTGCTGGTTCCTGGCGGCCCTGGAAGCCCTGACGTTCCACCAGGACATCTTGGCTGCAGTCGTGCCACAAAACCAGAGCTTTGAGAGGAAATACGCCGGCATTTTCCACTTCCGGGTACATCTGGTCCCCTGCAGTGCAGGGAGGTCTGCAGAAATTCTCCATCATGTTTTGTGTCACACCTTTAGATAATTTGTACATGGTTCCCCCTGGACAGGGGCAAATGGCGATAGGGTATCCCAGCCTGGAGAGCGGCCCGTCAGCCCTCACACAAAGCAGTGCAGGCACTGGATCAACTACAAGCCAGTCTGAGGATATACCTCCACTTAGCCCTTCTCTCTCCATTAAGAGACCACAGCTCGTATGGATAGAGCTGTGCCCTGCCCGTGTTTTAATCCAGGCAAAAGTCTTCCTCCATAGTGGCAATGGTCAGCAGGACTTGAACACATCCACTCCAGTCTTGTACCCCTTTGCCCAGCTCTTGATGCAACTCTGCCACTCTGCAGATAGGAACTCTTCCCCAGAAGCCCAGCTGTGCCTAATTTCCCTGCTTAATCCTTTTACACCTAATAGAGGCTTTGTTTTCTACTCTGGTAGAGCGGGACTGAGGAGTTGGCTTTGTGGGTGAGTCATCACATCCCACTGACCCAAAGTAGTCCTCCCCTCAAGGCAGCTTGTCCTGTGCTCATAGCTAAACTATCTTGCCTTTCCTGTTGTTTCAAGGGGAGGTTCCTTTCAAGGGAAACATCAGATCATTCCTTTTCCCTGACAGTTCTGGCACTTTGGTGAATGGGTTGACGTGGTGGTTGATGATCGTCTGCCGGTGAATGAGGCAGGGGAGCTGGTCTTTGTTTCCTCAGTCTACAAGAACGTGTTCTGGGGAGCCCTTCTGGAGAAGGCATATGCTAAGTAAGTGACTCATTCCAAGTTATGCAAATAGTCTCTCTAAAATATGTTGGTTGGTGCCTACGCAGTTAGTTCTTGTTTATAAAGGCATCTCCTAGGCCTTTCCATATTTGGAGTGTAGTAAATGGTTCTCATCCTTCTATTGTTACAGAGTAAAAGCTGCCATTGCAGTAGCTGTTATCAATCCAGGCCTGTGAGTTGAAATCCAAGGGTTTAGGAGTAGGTGTGAAAACAGACCTATCCTGGGGGGGTTGCCCTCTGAGTGTTATCCCAGTTGGGAGTGTATTGACTAGGATGCTATCTTCCTTGTAAACACTACAGAGGAGTGGAAGGCCACAGATAGGGATTTTCAAAGATGGATGATTTCTGATGCCTCCTTTTGTGTATTATCAGTTTGAGAAACCTCCAAGGAGTTTTGTTTTGGGAGTCTGCTGAAGCATTGTGCTTTGGTTTTGGCAGAGGTTCCCACTCTCTTTGGGTCCCCCAAAGCTGAGGCATTTAAGAAGTCACATGCCATGGTGACAATACCAGCTTTGCTCCAGGGTGTTTTGTCTAGAGTGGTTTATCAGGACTAAGAAGAAAGCAACAAGGCATAACTGATGGAGTTTGTTAATACTGGGCTGAAATAATCTCTGCAGAGCAGGGAAAAATCCTAGTTAACACTGAGAAAAAGATCACAGCAGAGGGGAGGAATTTCAGTTATTTTCATTTGGTGTTAGTGTTAGAGCAAAAAGACTAGGGAAGGTTGCACTGCAATGGTAATGAGAATCAGATTGGAGAATGCGCTCTCAAGACAGTGTGCCTCTTGAGGCACTATATCTTTGATACAGCACAGTGTCTGGTGATAAATTCAGGCAATGTGCATTAAGACAGAGTTATTAAAGAAGTAGTGATGGGCATGTTCTCACTACTGTGCAGTGAGGGATGGCAGTGAGTGAAGAGTCCCTTTCAGACTGTGGCTATTTTGGAGACAATTTCCCAGATGCCCCTCTTTCTAAATGCCAGAGATTCTGCTAAAATTGAACATGAGTTACAGTCTTCCTTTTGTAAACCTTTATTGTATGTTTTCATTTGTACCCTGTTCTCAACTTCTCATCTCTGACTATAACCCCAAGAACATACTGGTGTCTTCTTTGCTAGACTTTATGGCTCCTATGAAGATCTGCAGACTGGGCAAGTTTCAGAAGCCTTGGTGGATTTTACAGGTGGTGTTAATATAAGAATCAAGCTTGCAGCAGCTCCTCCTGATCTGTGGGATATCCTGACAAGAGCAACCTACAGCAGATCTCTCATGGGCTGTCAGACACATTCAGGGGTGAGACTTTGAGTCTGATTTCACAGCAAAAAAACCTTTCCAGACCTGTTTCTCTCTGCTCAGCTAGTCATTGTGACTCAGAGTATCAAAGCGCTAACATGTTACTTTTTGTAGAAACCACAACCTTCATGTTAAAGTTTGCACATGTATTGATTCCCTGCTGCTCTCAGCTCCCTTGTTGTTATGTTTAGGGACTGGTTTATCTATCAAAGAACCTTTACTAAATAAAGACCTACTGCATTTTGCCATTGTTAAATAAATTTTCCATTTTTACAGATGGTGCAGTGAGGCACAGAGACTTGTGGAATAAGCTTATAGTTAGAGAGGTGTGTAGTTCAGAACACAGATTCAAATCTTAGTTTCCAAGCCTTGTGCTTCAGCTGTTGGGGAAAGCCTACTATTCTGAAAAATCAAAACCTAGCCTCCTGGATATTCTAAAAGTGAGATGGTCTCTCGCCAAAGAGCCACAACTGAGGAAGTGACTTTTCCAATCAACCTCCCAATTCCAAACATGCTGCAAAATATGGCTGTTAGGAGCTCAGACTTTATTTTTTCTTTTCAGTTAAAACCATTTGCATTGAGAGTCATTGCTTGCACAAGTACAGGTCTCTGATATCGATATGAGTCTGCTGTGTAGGTAGGGATAGAATGAAAGGTTTATTTTTCCTTTTGTTTCTCTTTCTTGTATACAGGCAACAAAGGTCCTGAAGAATGGGCTTGTTGCTGGCCATGCCTACACAGTAACTGGTATTAGAAAGGTAAGAATAGCTCCACTGTCCTGGGTCCAGGTTTATTTGGATGTCAGCAGTATTTATTGCAATCATAGGTTCGGCCCTTAATCAGAGCAACTATGGTATCTGCTCCCCCAATGCCTTCTCTTAATCTAGGGCTAAAAGAGATGGTGTGCTTTATAAAGATTCACTTTCAAGCATATCTGTTTTAGTATCATGACCTTGACATAAAGGACAATGGTAATAGATCAGCATATCTCTAAGGGTGGGAATGATTCATAGGGCTCTGCTGAGAGCATCACCTAAAAATGCATCTTAGCAGTTAAGGAGGAAGGGACTGGGTGTGATGGGAGGATGAGCTGGAACCTGCTTGGGGTAAAAAGCCTTCCTCTGAAGTCAGAGTAGAGGCCATAGAGTAGTGAAGATAATTAAATACAAGGGCCAAAATATGAAAAACTGCAGAGGGAATTGTGAGTCAAGGCTAACGTATGGGAACCAGACTGGGCTTCTGTATGGAGAATACCAGGTGGACCCCACGGATCTGCAGAAGTATCATTTGGGAATCCCCTAAAGATATCTATCTAGAGATATGGGACAGTAAAATAGTAGATCCTAAGGAGTGGGAGCAAGCTCAAGCTTTCTCCTCCTGGATTGATGGCCGACTGTCTTGTCAAGCCTCAAAAGGAGGTTGACAAGGAGAACAAAGGACTTTGTGGGGCTTTGGACATGTGATATAGATGTGGGTGAAAGCACATTCAGTACATCTGCAAGAGATACTAGGAAAGCTGGAAGAGATAGATGCTATGAGCTGGATGATGCACGCCTGTGTCTCCTGCACGCAGCAGGAGAGTTTCAGGTATGCACTGTATCAGCGACACGTCTGTCAGTCTGACGCCTCTGATGGGATGAAGAGCCAGGCAGGAATAAGGGACTGACTGAGCACGTGGAGCCCATGTGAAGTCAGCTGTTCTGCTGTATGCTGCCAATAAAGCCCCTAGCTGGCCTGCCTCCCTCTTCTCCCACCATGGCATCCCAGTTCAGGAGGCACTAATCCTTGTGGTCGCCCCGTGGGCTGCATTGTGTGGTGCTGTTGCACTGGGGTAGGACTTAGCTTTCGTAGTAGTACCGTCCTGCTCTCACATAAGCACAAAATGAGCAGATCTTGGAAAGGAAGGGGAATTTATGGCCAAGCCTGCAAATTAGGAATATGTGAGGTCTCTGCTTTCAGTTGTAGAAGGTAAGATAAAGCATATTAATGTCTTTGGGCCTGCGTTCAGACTTGCATGTTCATAGATTTTTATCATTGTACTTGTTGGCATCTATGAGAACAAACAAAATCTTTGTTAGTATCTGATGTAGTACGGTGATATAGACCAGATGGTAACTCCTGAGACCTTGGTAAGCACAGTGTTACTGTGTTCTGCAGGTGACCTGTCAGTATGGACCAGAAAACCTAGTGAGACTGAGAAATCCGTGGGGAAAAATTGAATGGAAAGGAGACTGGAGTGATAGGTGAGTTTAAAAAAGGGAAGGTCTGATGCTGAGTGAGGGGGAAAGTTTCTTGGAGGAAAGATGCTGCCACCTTCAGGCGTGAAGGAGTGCTGAGAGCAGCATAAAGATAAATAGCAGTCACTTGCACAGACCCTCTGGTTTCAAAGCAATGACTTGATAGATTTATATTTCTCCAGCAGACTGTGCTCACGTAGCTGGGCTCATTTCACATACGCAGCTTCAGCAAGCTCTGTTCTGCTTTTCCATTCACTGAATGCCAAAGGAAACATAATATGGACATAGGACACTGGCCAAGTTGCTGTGATCCGGATGGCATACGAAGTGACAGATAGCTGTGCAGAAGGCTCGAAACAAACAGGATATTTTGGGGCATACCACCGTTTATCATGGGAGGGACCGTGCAAAGTCCTCCATGGACTGCAAAGCATTGGACTTGGGTGGCTGCGAAGGAGTCCTCCATCCTGGCTGTTTGGGGAAATACCATTGGGTGTGAGATCAGAGGAAGCAACTAGTGAGGCAGATGGGCTCTATGTGTGCATCTGTCTGAATTTGTTGATTGCTATCTATGAAAGACAGTGGTTTGTGTTCTATACCATGGGCAATTGTGGACTTGTGCCTATGCCTCTGAAGCGGAGCGTGTTCTTTCCTCCCAAGCTTCGCTTCATTCCATGTACAGGCTCTGTTTGCTGAGGCTTAGGGGTAGGGAAGAAGGATGAGCACAGGGAGGTGCTGGGAATGTGAGTGACTTTCACCTTGTCTGCAGAGCAGTAACTTCTCTGATGCGTGTCTGTCACATAATGACAACATACCAGCTGTTCCTCTTAAAGAGCATAATGAGCAACATACTGCAGGCCTGCCTTTTAAACGATTCCCAGCTGCCTCTTGTGCTGCCCTAGTCATTCATTCGTTATGCCAAACACTCTTCCTGTTATGTCTCCTTTGACAGAAAATTAGCCAACAAAACAGGTCTAGACTTTTATATTTTAAATATTTGGAAGCTGTGTGTGCGAGTGAATGGATTGGCTGATGGAAATGGAGCATTTCTGGCTTCGGTTGGAGAAAACTGGAGCCATTTAGCTACATCTCATGGAAACCCAGAGTGCTTGCGGAGAGTCTCCTGTGGCTGAAGGTGTAGGAGGCTGGAGTTTAGTGGAGGATAAATGTGGAGATATGTGGGGACAAGGATTTGACTTCTTTTTACAGAGGAAAGCTCTGTACTCTGCCTTGAATTTGAGGCCATGCTGGGTTAGTCACCTCATGTTTTTGCCCTCAGCTCTTACAAATGGGAGCTGCTGAGCCCGAAGGAGAAGATTTTGCTGAGGAAAAAGAAGGAGGATGGAGAATTCTGGTAATGGCACAGTCTTGGCCCTCCCTTCTCTGTCGGTAGCTCTGAGGCTGCATGGGGAGATGAAGCAGCACATTGCCACTTAGGTTGAGGCGTAGGTGATCTGCTTTATAACAGCCCATGCTTGCTTTCTTGTTCTCCTTTTCTGCTTGGCGTTGCGAGAAGCAGTAGCTGTGCTGACACGGAAGAGATGCACTGTTCTTCAGTGGCAGGAGTGAGGTAGGAGCGGGATACTGCCAGGTCTCCCGGGACTGCTGGAGACATGGTCAGCTTTCAGGAGCTTTTGTCCTGCCTTTTGTTTTAAGATAGCTTTGGGAAGCTCTTGCTTGACTTACATCTGGTCGTGGTTTCTCCACAGCTTCTACCACGAGGTGGCAATGTTGTCGCCCGTGTCATTTTACTGCGGTCCCTTTGGTGGCGATGTTATTTTAATCTCTGTGCCGCTATGCTTTGCTGAAACTTCGGTCGGGCATTTGCTACTGCTAGATGCTGCTGTTGGAGCAGACTCTCTCTTCTTTACTGCCTAATAAAATATGAGCGTTAGCATATGTAACACAGAATGGTACAGCTTCGAAGTTCCCTGCTCCCTTTCCTTTTCTTTTTGTAAGCCATATGGACTAAACTAAACTGCTGACAAGATGTCTCTTGGCACTCTTTTCCCAGGATGTCTCTGCGAGATTTTAAGATTCATTTTGTAGATCTGATGATCTGTAAATTAACTCCAGACCTGATGAGCCAGGAAGATGGGAAGAAGTGGATGTACTCCCTGAAGAGTGGGAGATGGGTTAAAGGAAGCACAGCGGGAGGAAGTCTGGGATTCTGTAATGGTGAGAGGTGCTTAGGGCTTTTTTGGATGACTCTGGGGTAACATTGTTCTGCCGACTCAGTTACTGGCACCTTCTATCTGTTAGCACAAAATTGACAACAGAAACATGCTCTTTCTGCTTAACCTTCCACACAAGCATCAGAAATAAGCAGCTGAACAACTTTGACTAGCTTCTGCTATCATAGAAGGTGCATCACTTGCAAACATAGGGCAGTGGGCTGGTTATGGTATGAAATGAGCTACAGGAGTCTTAGGATCAATTGCCAACACTGAGCTTCTTTGGGGCATTAGACTTGTCTGTTAAAATTTGCATCGCCAGCATCTCCAGGGAGCGTTATTTTAAGTAAAGTGAATGGGAAATGCAGAGGCTCAGCCCTTCTGGAAGCAGAGTGGGTGGGGTCTGAAGTCAGCTAGCCCATGGAAGGTGGTGGAGGAATACTGATACATTTATAAACAAAATGAGCTCTTAGTTTCAGGTGAGTGGAAATGTAGTTCCTTATTCCCGGGCCGTCCTCCTTTCTTACATAGTGGTTGCACTGCTAAACTTGTAAACTGCACCCTAAGATCAAATCCCTGTGGGGTCGGGAGGTCCAGACCACCTGTCACATATTCATTCTGATGCCAGGCATTGTGTGGGAAGCTGGCAACCAGTTTTGTGAAGGAAAATGACATAAAAATGTTTTTCTTGTTTTGCTTAGGCACCTTTTGGATGAACCCTCAGTACTGGCTGAATGTTTTACCCGTTGAAGACAGTAAGAAAAGCCTGTGTTCCTGCAATGTGGTTATATCCATGATGCAGAAGCACACCAGCAAACACCGGAACCGAGCTCCGCACCTCTTCATTGGCTTTTCACTCTACAAGGTGTGAAGAATTGCTTTGACATTTTTGCTTTCACCATCTAGGGATACTTCCAGCCCCTTAAAATTGGACAGCTTTGCAGACCAAGAATTCTGTTGTGTGCAGGGTGATCTGTGCCATTTTAGAATCATAGAGTAGTTTGGGTTGGAAGGGACCATTAGAGGTCATCTAGCCCAACCCTCCCTGCAGTAAACAGGGACATCTTCAACTAGATCAGGTTGCTCAGAGCCCCATCCAACCTGACCTTGAAAGTTTCCAGGGATGGCATCTACCACCTGCCTGGGCAACCTGTTCCAGTGTTTCACCACCCTTATGGTAAAAAATTTCTTCCTTATATCTAGTCTAAATCTACCATCTTTTAGTTTAAAACCACTATCTCTTGTCCTATTGCAACAGGCCCTGCTAAAACATTTGTCCCCATCTTTCTTATAAGCCCCCCTTAAGTACTGGAAGGCTGCTATAAGGTCTCCCTGCAGTCTTCTCTCATCTAGGCTGAACAACCCCAACTCTCTCAGCCTTTCCCCATAGGACAACCGGTCCGTGTCCTTCCTGTGCTGAGGACGCCAGAGCTGGCTGCAGGACTCCAGGTGAGGTCTCATCAGAGCAAAGTAGAGGGGCAGTCACCTCCCTTGCCCTGCTCCCATGCTGCTTTTCATGCAGCTCAGGATACAGCTGGCTTTCTGGGCTGCAAGTGCACGTTGCAGGGTCATGTCCAGCTTTTCATCCCCCAGTACCCCCAAGTCCTTCTCAGCAGGGGTGCTCTCAGTCCCTTCATCCCCCAGCCTGTATTGATAGCGGGGGTTGCCCCAACCCAGGTGCAGGACCTTGCACTTGGCCTTGTTGAACCTCATGAGATTCACACAGGCCCACTTCTTGACCTTGTCCAGGTCCCTCTGGATTGCATCCTGTCCCTTAGGCATGTCAACCACTCAGCTTGGTGTCATCTGCGAACTTGCTGACGGTGCACTTGATGCCGCTGACTATGTCATTGATTAAGATATTACACAGTACTGATCCCAGTACAGACCCCTGAGGGATACCACTTGTCACTGATTTCCATCTGGACATTGAGCTATTGACCACTACCCTCTGGATGCGACCATCCAACCAATTCCTCATCCACGAAACAATACACCCACAAAACCCGTATCTGACCAATTTAGAGAGAAAGATGTTTTGGGGGATCGTGTCAAAGGCCTTGAAGTCCAGATAGATGACATTCATAGCTCTTCCCTCATCCACTCATGTAGTCCCTGTATCGCAGAAGGCCACTAGGTGGGTCAGGCAGGACTTGCCCTTGGTGAAGCCATGCTGGCTGTCTCGAATCACATCCCTGTCCTCCATGTGCCTTAGCATAGCTTCTAGGAGGATCTGTTCCATGATCTTTCCAGGCACAGAAGTGAGGTTGACAGGTCAGCAGTTTCCAGGGTCCTCCTTTCTACCCATTTTTAAAATGGGTGCAATGTTTCCCTTCTAGTCACCGGGGACTTCACCTGACTGCCATGACTTTACTCAGGGATGCATCTCGTCAGGTCCCATAGACTTATGTATGCTCAGGTTCCTCAGGCGGTCACGAGCCTGATCTTCCCTTATGGTGGGAGGGGCTTTGCTCCCCCAGTCCCCGCCTTGCAGTCCATCCACTCGATATGTAGGCTCAGGTTCCTCAGGCGGTCACGAGCCTGATCTTCCCTTATGGTGGGAGGGGCTTTGCTCCCCCAGTCCCCGCCTTGCAGTCCATCCACTCGAGCGGTGTGGGAAGAGAGGTTGCCAGTGAAGAATGAGGCAAAAAAGTTGTTGGGTACCTCAGCCTTGTCCTCTTCCGTTGTTAACAGTTTGCTAGTCTTCCTCATGATGGGAGTTACACTTTCCTTGATCTTTGACCTTTTCTCCTTGCCTGTGCCTGGTCTCCTCAGACATCAGGGCTGGGCTCCCTCAGGTTCTGTGCCCTGCCTGCTGCCTCTCTGGCATGCTAGGTGTCAGACTGCAGAACAGTGAGAAATGCCTCTTGCCCTAGAGCACACAGGACGTTACTTTGCCCTCTCTGAGAATAAGTGCAAGAGCTAGGAAGGGCTTCCGGGAGTCCCCTTACTTCATGGCAGGGAGAGCACTGCCCTCAGGTTATTTCCAGCCGTGGTAAAGTGCTTGAGAAGTGTTCCTAGTATGATGTTGGCAGCTGTCCATGTGTGGATACTGCTAGTTCCCTGTGTATCCAAGGGTGAGTGGATATCACAAGGAGTGAGAGTTCTCCCCACGACCCCCCTCCGATTCTCTGCTTATCAGAGTGCCTTGCAGAGCCACTCTCATTCCTTGAACAAAGCCACAGATCTTGCTGCTGCTGTGAATTTGCACAGTTAGAGAGATAGCTGTGGGGAAGGGTTTTTAGGTGGAGGGGCTGAGGTTTCTGAAGGCAAAGACCCCAGCTGGATATATGTAGTTGCTTCTCAGCAATGCTATGGCTATGTTGTGTGAGACCCAGAGGTCCCTGTCTGACAGATGCTCTGTTTATTTTCTTCCTGCAGGTGGACCTGGAGGTGAGTCCCTTGTCACTGCTGCTGGCTGTTTGCTGGGTGACCTGGGCTGGTGCAGCTGTTATGACAACACTGAAGGTGGTGTGTTTGCCTTTGTTCCTTGGCTGACAGCTAGTAACTGTACCTTTGAGTTCAGTGAGGCACCACAGTAAGTCACTGTTAACACAGAGCTATCCACTGACTCTTCTGAGGACCAGCCGTATCAGGAGGGCTCAGTGGCCTTAAAAAGGGGCATCAGCTTTTCCGCTTCTGCGCTGCATCCTCAAAGGTATTAGAAGTGGCATCAGTGTTTACCCAATCAGCACTTTGTCCCTCCTACAGTTGTGGGATGGTGCCCCAGTTCTTGGCTGTGCCTGAGCTGGACTCGCTGCAACTCTCAGGGGAGCCAGAGCTACTTTTCTGCTGCCTTCCAGTCTTGGGATAAGGTGGGAATAGAGCCTGTGTACCATGCAAGTCAGGGGTCTCCTAGGGAGCTCAGGTTCCTTCCTGGCTAGGGATGCTCTGGAGCTGATGCTACAAGTGCGTTCAGCTTCCTCAGGCCACCTGTATTTCTAGTATTTTCTTTAGCCAGGAGCCTCTGGGACCTGAGGAAGGGCCCGGGAATTTAAACCCTGACGTATGTCGCAATTTTGGCCCTGACCTCAGAGGGCTTTTTAAAGCAGGAAAAGGTTTAGCTCCTTTTATCTTGAAAGGGTAGATCTTCCAGTCTGTTATTACTCAGAACACCTCTCAGATGGAGTCCCTGTGAATTTGGGCTGGCAAAGAACTAGTTTGGGTGTATGGTCAGGGCAGCACAACTGTATTTCCAATTACTCTATTTCCAACATGGTAACCATGAGGGAAGGTGCCACTCCTTCCTGACTTAAATATTTTGGGCACCATCAGGGTTGCAAGTGAGTTAAACTTCCTGGTAGAGGGGTTCTGAGTGTGGCCCTAGCACCTGAGGGGGGATGGTGGCAGCCAGGACTTTAATTTCAGATTTGTAGCTGTTGCCAAGATCAATACTTAGAGATGGCAAGCTGAGAGCCTCTAAGGTATTGGAACTACAGTCAAGAAAGTATTGACCAGAATATAAAAACTTTGAATTTAACATAAGGGGCCTGAAGACGAGTAACCCTGAACCCTGCAGAAGATTGCTGTATTAGTAAGAAAAATACTGGCAAAGGAAAAGGAATAGCATCTCCACTACAAAGCTGCGGAGTAAAATGGCTAAATGTTTTGAGGAACAGCCAGGATCAGAAGGTGACAGTGGTCTTGGCTAGCGGGATTATTTATTTGGCTTGTGTACTGTGCACTCAGTGGCATAAAAAACTGGTTCAGTGTTGCCTGGATCAACACTTTATCTATCTTCCTAGTGCAGAAAAGTGCCCGCAGAGCGAAACATCTGTAAGAGCCAGGCATATCAAGAACGCCAGGCATATCAAAGACAAGGAGTCAGGGCAAGGGATTAGGTTGCCCCTGCAGTATGCTGAGATCATGTGTGCTCTGAAAAATCCTCTGTTACCAGATTCCTAGTGAAAAGGACAATCTGGGTCAAAGTGCATGGCTCGTTTGGGGTGGGAGGGGTGTTCTGGCTAGTGAAGAGCAGTCTCTAGAGCAGTTCTTGCCTGCAGTCATTCCTGCTAGTATGAAAATGACTTTTGCAGTAGTTTAGATTGACAGAAGCCATTTCTCCCTGTCCTTGCTGCTGTTCCTTGCAAGTACTATTATATTGCTGATAAGGTTGCAGGAAGCCCTGTTCTTTGTCATTTTAGTATTGGGCAGGTGCGGTGCGTGGTGAAAACTGCTGTGCCCTGGGAGGAGACTGAGTCCTTTGGGCCCTGTTATCTGCTTGTGCTGTAAAGAAATCAGAGGTGCAAAGGCAGGCTGTCTCTGTGCCATGCCTGTGAATTCTCCACGTGTCTTTCATTTGTTTGTTCAGCTGGTGCAGAACACATTTCTGTTCTGTTTCTTCCTTTAACAGTACCAGGAAAGCAACAGAAAGCTGCCCCCAGCTTTCTTCACCCGACATCAGCCTGTGAACAAGCACCAGGTCTTCGTTGATGAGCGTGAAGTGACTCATGACTTCCATCTGGAGCCTGGTGTCTATGTGATTGTCCCGTCCACCCTGGAGCCTCAGCAGGAGTCTGAATTCATCCTGCGGGTCTTCTCCAGGAAGCATGTTTTTTGGTGAGTTGCTGCTGCCTCTCTGCCAGCACCTAATTCTCTGGGACAGTGGGATGGTCTGGTCTTTCTAGTCTAAAGGGAGACAGCATAAAGACTTTCTCACACAAAAGGCATCACAGTGTCTTTTGGGTGAGGCTGGTTGTGGGTCTCTCCCAGCGTAGGATGCTCAGTGGATGAAGCACTGCTTTTGGCCTTATTCTTTCAGGAAGTGTTGAGCTAGACCCACACAAAGGATTCTTGCAGCATGCTTGTGTTTGAGGCTGTGGAGAGGGACAACAGTTTTCAATGTACCCTTAGTTTACCAGGAGACCCTGCTGGCAATGCTAGGATGGTTGCTTGTGCAGAAATGTTGCTTTTGAGGCTTCAAATGCCAGCAGCCCCTGGGGAGCTGTATGGACATGAGGGCTTCCCTTAATGCAGCTGTAACACTGGGGAAAAAATATGCTGCAACAGCGGGTTGGGGCCCCATCTGGGGATGGGGGGGGCCACCTGTGATGAGACAAAGCACAACTCTGGGATATCCCCTTAATATGTCTGCTTTTTTGCATCTCCAGGGAAATGGGCGGGAACACCAGTTTCACTCTCTCTAAGGTTGGTGAGTATGAGGGGAGAGGGGGGGTCTGTGGTTCGGTTGTCAGCTCCAGCTGTTGATTTTTTCCTGTTGCTCTGCCCTGTGGAGAAGCTGAATGAGAATGTGAGTGCTTGTGTTGCAGCACTTTTGAAAGGGCAGCTTGAGTTTAGCAACAGAGTCCCTTGGTCCATGTGGACAAATGCATTCAGGTGTGGGGGTCGGGCAAATTTTTAGATGCCTTTGTTAGCTGCCTTTTTGAAAACTTCTTTCAGTGACACCAGCTTGCACACTGTACAGTCTTTCCTATTCATGGCTTTTTGGAAACTCCGGCTCCATTCTTGCACTTTTCCTTGCTCACTTCATGCCTTGAAAGTTTTGAAGACATCATGGGACCAGAGCAGTACTGTTCCCGTGTAGCGCTTTGTAGGTTATTTTCTGAATAACTGAGCTCAATGGCAGTGCATGCATGTCTGGAACTTGTGGAAGGGAATTTATAGTACAGTCTGTTCTGCTGGCATATACAGGGCCATTCCTTGTTTCGTCTCCTCTAGTCTCTCGTATAAAGAAGGACAGAGACCCTTCTCTTTCTTCTTGCTGTGGAGTGAGCCCCATCCTTTGTTGCTGCACAGCTGGAGGGGGGGTGGGAATATTTCTCCCCACTGAGTGTTATCTGAGTATTTCTTTCCAAGAAATAGCATTTCTATGAGGTGGGGAGCTATCTTGGCGGTGTGTTGCATTAGTGATGTAGCATTGATTGCAGTGGTGGGGAGAAGGTGGAAGGGCAGGGAATGAAAGTGCAGTTCGGGGAAAGCGTCTTTGGTAACTCTGTCTTGAATGGTGATATTTTTCTTCCTTGAGTTAATGATTTTTTCTTTTTAATATCTTAAAGGAAATTGTTGATAGGTATGAAGGCAAGATTTGGGAGGATTTCTTCACCAAGCATTTTGAACAAGTAAGTGTGTGTGTGAGCTCCCAGGGTAAACTCCTCCAGAGCTATTATGTAGCTCTGTGAAAGTACAAGCATGTGGATGTTCAAGGGTGGCCTGGACATGGAAGTGTGGGGAACAGAGACGCCATAGGAGGTTGGGCTGTGTGCACAGTGCTGATTCCGTGCAGCATATTTGATCACAAAGTTTGGGAGTACGTTAGCATTGAGACAAGTATACTTCTCCGCACAACAGCAGGGTGTGAATGCCTGAAACACAGGACACTGTGGATGTGACGGTATCAACAGGCTCAAAAGGTATTAGCAAGCTGATAGGCAGCAGGTCCATAAACGGATATTAAAGGACTAGGCAGGGATGTACCCTCTAACATCCCTTTTCCGACGGGTGTGGGTGCCAGGGGAACAGTAGAATGGACTGCAGAAGCTGACCAGGCTTATGTTAATTCCTATTACCCGTATTGGGGACAAAGCGGTGGGCTGTGTGCATCCATTCTACCCTTCAGGGTGTTCTTACACTAAATGGGGAAAGTTGCTTATTAGAGAACACTCCCTGAAATATTGACATTTGTGTCACACAGCCTTGATCACACTTTGATGGCGCCTACCTTGCTATGAGGGTGAAGTAGGTACCAGGTGTCCCATCACCTCCTTTTTTCACTAATTGTCCAGTGAAATATGATCTTTATTATGAAAGATTGTTTTTAATGATCTCTCTGGCCTGATTTGGGACAGAGTTGGTCTGCAGGGATACTGCCAGCCATGGTGAGGGGTGCAAGTGTTTCACCTTTCAGAAAAGATGACTGCATTTATTTAACAGCATACTTTGTATTTGGCAAACAAAATTTCACAAAAACACATTTGCACTTTTGTTAGCAGTATTTTGACAGAAGCGGTTGCTAAAAAGAAGAAATGCTTTTACTTTTTGCTGATTGTTTAAGATTTTGATTTTGAAAACAGTGTGGCTTTCAGATGTGCTAGAAATTGCCACATATTGCAAGGTGCTGGTCCTTTGCTGTCAGGATGTCCAAGTACGCGCAGAGGAAAGCAGTACTGCCATTTCTCAATGCAATACCCTGGCATGTCTCAATGACCTGAAAACAGGCTTTTATTTTTCAAGAATGACATTTAAAAAATCCTCCAAACAAACAAATGTCATGGTTTCTAATAAACCTGGAAACTTTACTATGACAAGGAAGAGAGGAAGTCTCTGCTTTGAAAAGTTTGGCGATGAAATATTCCAAAGTTTCCATCTTTTTTTTTGTTTGTAAATGATAAAAGGGAAATATCTGAAGCAGGTCTCTTGACAGCGTGCTTGATGGCGCAGATGGCACCAGGGCTGAAAGGTTAACGGTCTGGATCCTCACTCAGTGTAAATCTACACTACCACATTGATCTGTGTGGAGCCCTGAGAACTTAGCTCAGAGCAGGCTGCAGCTCTTGCAGGCTGAGAATCTTGTCATATTCAAAGGGAGTCTTTTCTATTGATTTTCACGGTGGCTGGAGTGGGGCCAGAAAAGCAGAGAATGAAGATGGGACATGCTAGGAAAACAAAAGAGAGAGAAAAGTGATTTAATACTTAAAAAAAATCTCTTCCATATCACAGAACCCTGAAATAAATGCTGTTCAGCTGCAGAAGATCCTGAATAATATATCTTTGAGAAGTAAGTGCTGAGAAATAATGTTTCTGTAAAATAAACCCTCTTAGAGAAAAGACTCAGCTCCTGTATCTGGTTCTTGAATTCTGGGAAGAGAGACTGGCTTGAATCTGACTGAACTGACCCTTCTGATGCCATGTTAGATTTCCAGAAAGAAAGTATTTGCTGAGGTGTGAATCAACATGGTAGAAATTTTATACGCAAATCTAATCTAGTTTGAATTTCGACAACAGAAGGAATGAGGGGGACCAGCAAACACAGATATTGTGTGTGGATGCAGACTCTGAATTTGACCTCCAGACCCAGCTTGACCTCAGCATTGGTTGTGAAACTGTATCTCATATCAGCCTGTGCCACTGCCACAGTCTTGGCAGTGCCATTGTGAGAAGGTGTAGAAAGTTAGGCTGGTCTGCAGGCAGTTGTGCAGTGGAAGAGGGTCTTGTCTTTACCTTGGTGTGCCTGGTTCATGCCTGCTGTTTGTATTTACTCTTCCCTGCTATGCATGCATAGGGCTGTTCCTTGCTCTGTTTGTGTTTGGGAGACAGGATGGAGGTGTAGGTAGCCTGTGTAACTTATGCGCATGAGAACCAGGTGAGCCCTGAGGTTGTCTGTGTCACGAGGACTGTGACATCCACACTGCCAGTGGCAGCCCAGAGCACTCCACAAGCTCATAATTTTGTCCCTAGTTATAAATAACACTACCTGGACAGCAGCGAGGTGTTGCAGTGGCTGTTTCCTTTGAACAATGACAATGAAGTTACACATATAACGATGAATATAGATTTCTGTCCCAGTTTATTCACTGGTAACAACCGGTGTGCAATACAGAAAATGTGCCATCCAGCTATTATAGGCAACAGAGAAGGTGAACAAAAGACTGATGTGGTGCCTTTTCTACTTAAGCTGAATTTGACATTGCTCCCTTTTCTACAAAGATAGACAAGGATTCCTCTTCTGTCTTTGCAAAGTGACCCACCAGGTACTGTCTTATCTGTGAGAAGACTATGTTGAACAGAGAGTATTTTTCATAAAAGATCAATTTTAAGACATTCATTTCAAAACTTTGCAGTACTTGATTCATATTTAATAAACAGGGATATTACAAGTTTAAAACATCTTCACTTTCTGTGGAGAAGGGATTGGTGAGTTATGGTTCTGTCCCTTGCTCAGTGGAAGTCTACAGACAATCTATAACCATGATTTGCAGTGAGATTAGAGTCTATTTCTGTTACTCTTCATGTAACTTACGTATGAACCAAGAATGCTAAGCTTCGATGCAGCATCGTGTTTTCAGTGATGCTTATACTTTTAATTATATTAACAGAGCTGGCAGTATGTCTGTGAAAGAGCGAGAGATGCTTAGCACAAGGATTTCAATTAACCTGCAGTGCTGCTCCCCAAAGCTCTTCAGGTCAAGTGACTTTGCTCAAGGTCATGCAGTAAATTCTGTTTGGGATTACAGCTTTGGATGTCCTTTTCCTTCCATTTTCTCTAATAGCTGGAGATAGCGCACCATATTTCATTCTGTATTACATGCCTGCAGGGAGCTCATATTGGATTTTCTGAGACTAGTAGAATCCATCCTGTTGCCTCGTATTTTTATCATTATAAATGATATGTCTTCTCAAGTGGGTGTAAAGTTTCACAAAGACTTTGGGGCCTGAGGCATCTCAAGTGAGGGGGAATTTTGTAAGAGTCCATTTTTCTGAGAGATGTTCAATGACTTCTCAAAACAATCTTTTTTCTTTCTTGATTTCTTTTTTTCTCCTTTTTTTTTTGTTTTCTCCTCAGATTTCCAGAGTTTTTGCCTGAGTTTCAGTCTGGATGCCTGCCAGGGTATCTTGGCACTCCTGGATGTATCCTTCTTAGCATGAGTGATATTTCTGACTCATGTTATACTTCACTGGAGCATTGTTTCTTAGGTCAGACTGAGCGTTACCATGATTTCTTTACCACCAGGACATGGCACTGCTTATTGAACTTCTCACCCTCCATACTGATAGTTCAGTTGTGACAGAGTGGAATTGCTTTAGGAAAGGGTTGATTCCTGCGGCCCTGAAATCAGCAGCCAGGTTTCCATTGACTTTAGTGGGAGGAAGATCAAGCCTAAAGATAAGCTTGTGGGCTAAGAAATCATTATCCTCATTATAATAATATTCACCTATTGTAATTGTGTGAATATCAGAGTGGCTATGAGTTTTCAGTTTGTTTGGGTTTTTCTCTGTAATGGGTGCTCTCTGATGTTTAAGTGAGATGTTCTGACCTTAATTGTCCCGTGAAGCTGAATGCCTCTGGCACACTGAGTATCCAGGAATTCAGAGTCCTGTGGAAAAGGCTGCTTTTCTATTTGGTATAACAAGAATTTCTGTGTCCCCTTGCAATATCTCCCTGCTCACAATCCTTTTGGTGTCATCTGTTGATATGAAGGGGGGGGAGTTTAAATTTTTTTTTCCCCTTCCCCCCAGGAAGTTTTCCAGAAAAGAGACGCTAGCAGATCAGGAAAACTTGACCTTGTGGAATTGCATGCAGCTGTACAGGAGACAGGTGAGCCCACAGTACACCTTGGCAAGTCTCATCCTCCTCCTCAGAAATGCTGGAAAAAGACCAGGGCTGGGAAATGTCTTGAGAATTGTAGGTAGAGCCCAGGAGAAATGGAAAACATCATAGGCTGCATGGTCTTAGCCATCTCTGCTTTCCACTTTAGCTGGGTGAACACATCTGAAAATTATATTGCTGCTTAATCTTTGCCTTAGTGTGGTCTCATACTGATAGTTCTCTGAAACAGCAGCGTCTGTCTATTTTAGACCCAGTTTTAAAATCCTTTCCTGTTCATTGCTACTTTAATTTTAAAAGACTGTTTGGGGTTATGTGGATACATGCGGGAGGCCATACCTAGCTCATATTAAATTGCTACCTCTGCTGAAGATGACAGCTCAGGGACTGAACCTGAAAGCGTAGGACTTGCACAGAGGCAATACTGGTGCCAGACTGCTAATACAATATCTGGAGCTTGATCTGGAAATGGAATTCTGTACACATGGGTCCGAAAGCTCTGTTGCTGTTATTGAGCTTTGTGTGGGGGCTGGTGCTCAGTTTTGTAGCCTCTTTTGCAGGTTTACAGCTTAAATATCATTCCTGTTTTTGGTGCCTGGTTCACCCAGTTCATCTGAGTCAGTGAAAGCACAGTGAGAAACCCAGGTGGCCCTCTTCTAAAGCAAATACAAATCTTAGGCCGTGAATAAGAAAATACTTTCATTCCTTGCAAATGCTGCTTGCCATTGGGACTGAGGCTTTCTGTATGAACCTCCTCTGGACTTTCTTTTTCATCTCCTTTCCTACCCTCTTGTGGAGTGTTGCTCTTAAATGCAGCTGCTGTTATTACCTTCATTTACTCACGAGCAAAAGATGCCCATGCGTATTTTATTCCAACTCTGGCAGGACTGTGAGCATAGGGGATCAGATCTCAGCCCTTCCAAGTTTAGAGGAGATATCTCCACATGGTGAGCTGGTGTGGGCTGACTGATATTTGATAATCTTAGCGGAGGTTTGAAAAACCAAGCTGTTGGAGAAGGGCTGAAGATCACTCAGTTGTACATGCTCACAGCTGTGTGCACACCCATAGCTGTGCACATTCATCTGCCTACAGCTGAGAGTTGCCATCTCATTCTGGTTTTTTTGTTTTATTTTTCTTTTCCTTCCCTGTATGAAGGCATTTCACTCAGCAATGAAGTCTGTAATTTGATGGCAATCAGATACGGTGACCCTGACTTGAAGATCAGCTTTGAGAGCTTTGTGTGCTTCATGCTTCGAGTGGAGATCATGGGAGGTGAGGCTGGCGCTATGTGGCTGGCCAGGCAAGCTGGGCTGGCTAGCTAAGCTCTGGCATTTCTGATGCTGCTCCAGCTGGCAGCGGCAAGGTCAAAATTAGAAGGACTGGGTTTCTGAATAGATCAAGAATAATCAATTTAAAGCAAGGGACAGATATAGAGGAAATCAAGCTCTCTCTCTTTACCCTTCCACCAGTCACTTTGTACAGTCATCCAGGTCGTACATATCGGAGTGATTTAGCTCCCTGCAGGTTTGCATCAGCCTTCTGTAGGAGGAGGTAGGCAAATTACAGTTGGAAACTTTTCACTTTCCGGGAGGAAATGACCCTTGGAATATACCTTTTCCAGGAAGAAAGGAGCCTTGGAATATACCTTTGGTGGGACTGCAGGTGTGAAGATGAAACAGCTGATGCTCAGTCTGTGAGCTCGTGCTATAGACACTTTGCATATGTCTCAAAATTGCAGTGGGCGAAGTTGGGACCACTTGCATTGCGAGGTTTCACAGCTGGATAGAGAGACAGTAATGTGCCTGACTTTATTCAGCTCCTCCCTGTGTCCCAGCCATTAGGGATCTTCCAGTGACAGAACAGACAAGCTCACGTGCACTCGTGAATAACCTACAAACTCTGTCTTTGAAGTTTTTCCTGAGACAGGGTGTCTTGGCTGCTGTTGATCTCTTGGCTACCAAGTTAATGCTCCTCATTTCTTTCGCAGAGGCCTTTCGCAACTTAACACAAGATGGCAAAGGGATATATCTCCGGGAATCTGAGGTAAAGCCTGTTCCCTGACTGACAAATGCAGGCTTCTTCACTTCAAGTGGCACTGCGTGTTTTGTTCTGTAGGGCTAAAGAAGGTATCTTTACCTAATCACTTAGAGCTGGTTAGAAACAACTAAGAGCTTCAGACTTCCAAGTTGTGTGCTTTATTATGGCTTCTGCTCCTTCTGGAGACAGAAAATCTCCAATGCCCTGTAATCCAGTTCTGTTGTGACTATTGCAGACTGCTCTCAGGGATGGAGGAGTTCAACCTGCTTTCCCCATTACTTTGCAGTGGATGATGATGACGCTATATTCCTGAAGCAATACTGTTGAAGAGGGGACAACCAGGCGTGCACCAGGATGAGGAAGGCTGCATTGTATCAACTTTCTGTGCACACTGGACTCTTTGGGCTCAGCCCTGCAATTTACCTCTTATGAAATGTCTTTCCTTCAAGCAGACTTGACCTAATGACCACAGACTTGGTGAATTGAAGTTTTGCTGATTATTTGTTTTGAGTCACATCTCACTTCAGACAACCCTCTGAGAAGAGACTGCTGGATGCCAAACGCTGTGGATGCACAGTGTGACACCATGGAGCACTGGGAGTCGTTGGGATCAGCTGCTTAATGCTGATGTTACACTGCTTCTGTTGCAGGGTGGCATACCTTGTGGTAGCTAGCGCCCGGAGGCTGTGCTTGGTGATGGTGCTTTATCGCGTTAAATACCTCTTGAGCCTGGGAGAGAACCAGCCCCTGCCCCGAGTGGCTTGTCACCTAACAGAGGAAATCCCAGTTCTGCAGCTGCTAGGCTCATGGCAGATGGCAAGAGTCAGTGGCTTGTGGGGAAGAAGGGGTAGGACTCTCTGAATGAACACTTTTCCCAAGCTATGATTTGGAAAGGTGGTTTGCAAGCACTCAAAACATCTCTTGCTTTTAGAAGCCAATATAGCCCTATTGAAGTGAACTTAAGTTGACTTGATCAAGTGACGAGCCCAGCTTTGTTGTGAATGGAGGATGTGATGTTTGCAGATTTATTTCAGAAAGGCAGTGGGTTTTGTCTGCAGGTGGAAAAGTACAGTGCAGTGAGAAGTAAACTAATCCCAAATTGTCTTACAGTCACTGGAGAGTGGCAGGGAATAGATGTTCCCTGTAGCATGATACAGGAGCAGTCTGGTAAAACATTTGGATGTTTGTCAGTTACTTTTTATAAAGCAGAAAGAGAGAGAGTGTGCGTGTACTTTTAAAACACACAGGCACATACAGGTTGTAGCTAATTAAATAGTGGAAACTGGGTGCGTAGCTGTGAACAGCGTTAGAGAACATGTTACATGTGGGACTATTCACCGTGAAGTCCATGCTAGAGTTAAGTGATGTGTCTATCTGTAGGAGCCTTTTTCTCTTTCTTGCCATTTATTTATTTGGGCTGCAAATTTCCATGCTAAGTGCCTGTTACGGGTTGCTGCTTAGATTTCTTTTTTTTTTTTTTTTAACTTTCTGGTGGACAGCACAATTGTGGCTCTTTTCCAGTGCACAGCCTAGTCTGGGCACTGAATGAAACAGAGCTCCAAGAGGAATGAACATACGATGAAAAAACATACTCTAATGCCTTTATAGGAAGGAGTTCTATCAAGCTTGCATAGGCAGCCTTCCCTCTGGCTTTTTGTGAATTTTTTGGTGCTTAATCTCGTAAATATCCTTTCAGAGTGCGCATGAGATTCAGGAGTGAGGTGGACTGTGGATAAGAATGTAAACACGAGCAAAAGACTAAGCTTAGGTATGTGCTTACCACTGCACTGGAGCCTGTGCAACAGCAGAAGCATATGCAGAGATAAACCCCGCCGTGTGTAAGTGCTCCCAGTCAGGAGGCATTAAACAGTAAAAACAACAGTGCGCTCTTTATTCCCCCAAACAGTCTGTTTCTAAACAGTATCATTTTCATACTGGTTTTATGAGAAAACTGTTAGAACCAGATAAATAGATAGCTGTGTTTGTACTTGTTTTATAACAGAAGGTTTATCTATCATCTATTGTAAGTGGCCTACTGCGGTGTCACTGGAGCCACAGGGTTTGGATCTGGGAAGCAGAGCAGGCTGGTGGGAGGAGGGACATCCAGGGCCCTTGAGCAGCCGTGTCGCAGCGCTGCTGTCCAGCTGGGCTCCCAAAGAGGCTCCGTTAGCAGCTCCTGTCACAAAGCACGTGCCCTCTCCCGAGTGTCATGCCTCTGTTTAGTTCTGTGGCTCGCAACTGAACACGATGGTGCAAACTAAATTAGCCTGATTTAATTTGCACTCAGCTCAGTGGGAGATGTTATAAACACTGATTTACCATGTGCAGGAGCAGCACTGGAAGCACGGAAAAGGTTGACTGAGAGAGCGTAGGTCTTGCTTTTTCAGCACGCTCCGAAAAAGATGGTCCCCGGCACCAACGGGGATGGCCGGGGGGTCTGCGTGAGTGCAGAGCATTCACGGCATGACTCTGTTGGACACGATGGGATGAAAATCTGGCAGTCCCAACTGGGTTTGTTGCACAACGTGTGTAACAAGCTGAGCAGCAATCATTTAAGGCTAGGGGTATGGTGGACATAACTCTGCCACAGGCTGTGCGCAAAACTGTGGTGTAGGGGACTCCGTTAACTGTGGTTTATGGAACTCAGTTTCAAACTGCAGTTTATTTTTCTGTTGTACACATAGTTTTTTATATCAGATTTTGTACTTATTTACCTCACACTTCTTTAATGCAGAGCAATGTAATTGCAGGGAGAGATTATTTGCTACTGATTATTTGATCCAGGAAAGAAACAGAATTCATCCATGCCATGAATCACTAAGCATTTGCAGCAATAAACTTTATTGAGCCATGTGACTTGCTGTTACAGAATTGTAAAGAATGCTTTACTGGAATAATTATACCAAACCGTGTACAATTCAAAATGAATTATCTAGCTCACAATAAAATGTTTTTGGCAAGGGCATCTACTTGGACACTGTGCGGCTTTTATATTGTGAACAGAATAACGTTTTCTGGGCAATTCTGAAGATATATTACTCCTCATTTACAATGTGCATTGTGGAAAAAATGGTCCAAAAGGCTGCTGAAGGATGCATTCGTTTGTAACCACGGCATTTATAGAGATGCTGAGCTTTGCAGTGGGTGCTATTGCTCTAGCAGAAATGAAAGAAAAGTGGGGTTGCGGCTTGAGACTTGAGACTAGTATTGCTAATAAAGGTTCTTTTTGGAAAAGGCAGGTGCAGATAACAAGAACAGCAAATAATGGCTGGAGTGCGAAGAGGAGCTGGGTGATGAGGTATGCTGTAACAGTAAGACTGAGATGAAATTGAAAGTAAGTAATCAACCCTTTGCAAACAAAATATTCAGCTAGAGCTTATTGCTGCAAGATACACGCACACAACTGAAAGTATTTCAGGTTTCCTGGATGTAGTTGGTGCACACGTTTACAATGCAGTCAGGGTACAGCAGCTACCTGTCAGCCTCACTGCGTGCATTCTGCATCGTCAGGGATTCTGTCCAGCTGGCAACAGGACAGGCTCTACTCTCAAGCCTAACAGGATTCAAAAAGGGGCTAAAACTTAACTAACTGGGCTGGAGTGTTCGTGGCCTCGGCGAAGAGCTGTGGCAGAGACCTGACATCTGGCTTCAGGCAAAAGAGGAAGAGCTGCCCTCTGGGGACAAATTACCCCAAGGCAAATCACCCCAAGATCATGGGGCTCTTGCCCTTGGACAGCTAGGGATGATCACCTTCGGAGAGCTATCAAGCTGGTCCGGGTTTGAGATGGAGTATTTCTGCCTATCTGCATATTTATTTCTGGGCAATCCATTAAAATGTGAAGGTCTACGTGCTGTTGAGACACTGCAGTGTTGAGACACTCAGACCTCTGTCTGAGGTCACATCTCTCCTTTTCACTAGTTTTACGGTGGGGCCAACAAGACTCTTACCTTACCTATAAGCATGTTACAGTCCTTTGCTGGGAGGTATTATATTCATTTAAGTGGCTACTATGCAAACCACCATCGTGGCTGGCCGACTGTGCCAGTGGACCTTGACCATACCATGAGATGCTCTGTGTAGAATAAATAATGTTGCTTTGTTTTTAATTATTAAGCAGTACATGGACTCCTAACTCCATGACCCACAAAAGGGATCTCTAAAGGGTGAGTTGTCAGTGCACCGCAGCCATAAATTGAGGACTTTGAAGCTTTTGGAAGGCAAAGCCTGTTTCCCGGGGCAGGCAGTACCCAAAGGCTGGCCATGGAGCTGAGTGGGTGCAAGGTGTCCCAGTAGCGCAAACCTTTGCACAGGGCAGTAATGGGAATGAAGACACAATGTGGGAACATGGAGTCAAAGCCACTGCCAAATCCAAGTGTTTGCCAGCCCTCGTTACCCCTTCCACAGTCCTGCAACCCCACCAAGAGACTCAATTAAAACAATGAGATTTCAAAATTTGCAGACCTGGAGTCTCTTTTTATTTCCTTTGTGAGTCAATGTTTCATGCTTTCTGCCCAAACAGGAGGGGCTGTGGAGACTTATCTCCCAACGTCAGTCCTACTGGACTCTGGCTGAATGCAACCCTGTACTCCAATGTGGAAGAGGGGTGACAAGCTGGAGCTTCCCGCATATATGATGTTTGCATCCAGATTCAGAAAGGCTAAGGGCAAAAATCCCCTCTGTTATTATTTACAGTTACTCCGTGCTGAGGGGAGGAAGATCACGTCCCCAGGGGCTGGCTGCTGCGTGACCCGGAGCAGGACTTGCTGTATACTCAGAAAAAGCAGTACTTCTGCAGTGCCTGGGGGAGTGATCTGTGTTCAACATGGGCCTCTGTAGTCAAGACTGGATCTAAACCTCAGCCACCCGAAGCCCAGCCCACCAGCTCCTTTTCCCTTTGCGTACCAGGGCGTTGCTACTCAATAATCCTCATACTGCCATGAACCGGGTTTTTCCCATAAGCAACGCTTCTTTCTAGCTGGCACCCAGGAGCTCAAGTTATGATGCCATCCCAAGGTTTGGGGCTTGGCCATAGTCACGATTGCTGGGCAGTTCTTCTGCACTTCACTATCTGCACGCACGCCCTCGCACGTACCCAGGCACCCCATGTCACATTCCTCAAAAATAGTTGCAATACCATGCTAAAAGAGAAGGGGAATAGAAGACCTTTATTTTTTTTCTCTCCGGCTCGGGGAGCAGCTCCTTGCAGAATGAAATGCTAACGAGCACCTTTGCCTTTCCTTCCTGCTGCGTCTTACACTGGATTAGACCTGAAAAGCAGTATCACCAAGCTTGAAGTTCAATTTATCAGTGCA